GGCTGGGCCCCACACGTCCATGTGGAGCGTCTGCAAGGGAGCAGTCGTTGGGGGAATCGAGGAGGAGTGAGGAGCGGCGCGCTGCCGCCCCTCGACACAAGGAAGACAGGGAGGAGCAGGCGAGGGTGGGAGGGGAGGGAGTACCCGGGGAAGACCAGAGACAAGGTACCGTTTGTGCATGGCACGAAGGCGCTGCACTGACAGGTGACCAAGGCGGTGGTGCCAGAGGACGGTCTCGTGTGCTAGAGAGCGACACGAGCAGGGGGCAGACAGCTGACCTGAAGCAGACGCAGACGCAGCTACCTGAGGGGACTCAGTGGTCAGTGTGTACAGGTCCGACCCCGGCTGCCGAGTGAAGGTAGCCAGGTGACGGCCCGTCCGAGCACACGTGCAGTGTGTCACGCGCTCGTAGGCAGGGGTGAACTGGTGGACACCCCCGTCCTGGAGCGCACTACCCGCCACAAGGTTCGTAGAGAACGAGGGGAGGTAGAGACCTGACAGTGTGCCCGATGGGACCGCAAGACAAGGGAGAACAGTAGAGGAGGTCGCAATGACCGGACCCCGAGAGGGGTCAGCGAGGGAGACCGCAACCGGCCGAGCAAGCTGCTCAAGGGAAGCGCCTGAGTCCAATGTGAAGGTGTGCAGTGCCTCAGTAGACGCAGTACCAGAGGGCGCAGACTTACGAGTACCTAGAGCAGCAGCCTCACCAGCACCTGGGGCACCAGACACACCAGCACCTAGTGCAGCAGCCTCACCAGTACCTAGAGCAGCAGACTGGATACCGGGGTCAGGCGGCACACACAGGTGACAGGCACTCTCAGCACTAGTAGACAATGCATACATGGCAGTGAGGATAGCATCATAGTCAAGTGCATAGATATCTGCCCTCTGCCTAAGCGGCTCCACCCAGTCGGGGAGCTCAGCGTCGTCGCCAAACTCTGTACGCCAAGCATCGCCCAGACGGGCGAAGCAGTGGGACTCTGTGTGACCACGTGTCCCGCAAGGCTGACCAGTCCGGACACCTGTGCGAATGACGTACGGGCAGCGAGCAGTACTCAGTGACCCTCTACTCTGAGCGTACCACTCACGAAGCTGCTGGGGCGAAAGAGCCTCGCGTAGACGACGCGGCTGCTGCACCGGGCCACTACAAGAAACTCCCGAACTACCCACTCCAAGACGACTCCCACTACTGCCACCCCGACAACCCCAACTGGCGTACCACTCACGAAGCTGCTGGGGCGTGAGGGGCACACACGGACGGCCCTGGAGCTGCATCTGGCCACGCCAGGAGCAGCAGTAGAAGCAGTAGCAGCAGCAGTAACAGCAGTAGCAGCACGGGCAGGGCAGGGCTCACCAGTGGTGGGAAGGGCAGGCGTACGAGCGAGGCGACTGCGGGGCCGTCACAGCGGCCGCTCCAGGGGCGGCTGCTCCAGAGGCGGCTGCTCCAGGGGCCAGGGGCGGCTCCTGTAGTGGCAGCTGCTCCAGGGGCGGCTGCTCCAGTGGCCAGGGGCGGCTGCTGCAGGGGCGGCTGCTCCAGGGGCGAGGGGCGGCTCCTGCAGTGGTGGCTGCTCCAGTGGCCAGGGGCGGCTGCTGCAGGGGCGGCTGCTCCCGTGGCCAGGGGCGGCTGCTGCAGGGGCGGCTGCTCTAGGGGCCAGGGGCGGCTGCTCCAGAGGCCAGGTGCGGGTTAGGTCAGGGCGACTCAGCAGGCAGGGGCGACGCGCGGGCAGGGGCGACGCGGCGGGCAGGGCGACGCGGCGGGCAGGGGCGACGCCGTGGGCAGGGCGACGCGGCGGACAGGTGGCGACGCCGCGGGCAGGGTGACGCGGCGAGCAGGGGCGACGCCGCGGGCAGGGGCGACGCGGCGGGCAGAGCGACGCGGCGGGCAGGGGCGACGCCGCGGGCAGGGCGACGCGGCGGGCAGACGGCGACGCCGCGGGCAGGTGGTACGCGGCGGGCAGAGCGACGCGGCGGGCAGGGGCGACGCCGCGGGCAGGGCAACGCGGCGGGCAGGTGACGACGCCGCGGGCAGGTGGTGACGCCGCGGACAGGTGGCGACGCCGCGGGCAGGGCGACGCGGCGGGCAGGTGGCGACGTCGCAGGCAGGTGGCGACGCCGCGGACAGGTGGCGACGCCGCGGGCAGGCGGCGACGCCGCGGGCAGGGCGACGTGGCGGGCGGCGAGAGCCTGCAGGGGCGGCGCGCGGTCGGGCAGAGGCTGCGCGGCGGGTCTGCAGGGGCGGCTCTCGGGCCTGACGGGCCTGCAGAGGCGGCTCGGGGGCCTGACGGGTCTGCAGAGGCGGCTCTCGGGCCTGACGGGCCTGCAGAGGTGGCTCGGGGGCCTGACGGGTCTGCAGGGGCGGCTCTCGGGCCTGACGGGCCTGCAGAGGCGGCTCGGGGGCCTGACGGGTCTGCAGAGGCGGCTCGGGGGCCTGACGGACCTGCAGGGGCGGCTCGAGGGCCGTACTAGCTTGCAGGAGGCAGCACGAGGGCTGCAGGACGGCACGCGGGCAGACCGAAGGGCGGGGCGCGCGAGGGGCGCACTAGCAGAAAAAGGAAAAGGGGCGCACGAGGGCGCACGAGCAGAGAAAGGCGCATGAGGGCGCACATAAGGTAGGGCGCACGAGGGCGCTTCTAGCGGAATAGTGGGCCCGTAGGAGAAAGCGGTCCTAGGTAGCAACCTAGGCTCGTGATACCATGTTAGAATGAACAAGTGTGTGTGAACTAACAAGATTGGGAGTACAAGTAGGAAACCCTAGAATGTTGTACCCCCTAAGGCTAAACCCACTATAGCCTACAAAATGTAAACATATAATGTTTGACATGGTCGTGCGGTCGCTGAGGTGGCAGTCCTTCTGGTAAGTCGCATGGGAAAATTGTGGGGAACCGTTTTAGTAATTTTCTCAGCTCGTGCGGTACAACTGCTATCAGTGTCTGAAAATCACTCGGATTCTCTGCTACTCTTACTTCCATGATGTCAACAATTTACACGTCATCTCTTGATGCAACAGCCCGTTTCATCGTGATGGCGTTGACGTGAACCGCTGAAGATTCATACGACTACCAGCGAGGTAGCGCAACCCAATTAACGCCGCTTTGCACATTGCAGCTCGATTCGCGGGTTATACTGTCACAGCCAATCACGTCCGAGTAAAATGTCGGTCCCATCCAATCTTGTCGCAAGCATATCATGTGTAAATCCGAACATCCCCCCACTGTGATTCTTCAACCTCTCTACCTTCTCCCATATTGCCAGTGGCGCGCCGTCAACCAACCGTGCATCGATTTCAGGTAAATAGCGGCTAAGTGTCAGTTGCAGCTTCCTTGCAATCGCGATATTATCTAAACTAGGGCTAGCCCCTCCGTCGATAAAAACCTTCACTGCTGTCCCCAGTATTGAGTCGGTACTAACCAATCTGCCACTGTACCCTCCTTACCCAGCCGAGCCCGATCGATTGCGTGAATCGGTACAGTCACACGGTGAGGGTCAATGGGGTCCGGCGAGCAATGAGTCTCGCCAATGAGTCTCGTGAGGCCCGCTACTGATAGCTCATGTTTCCCTGCCTCTCAGACTCTCTCCCCTGCTCGGCTCCTCAACGCTTTAGTTACTCAGGGCACTCGCTCTTACGATGGCCTGGCCTGGTGCACGTGAAGCAGCATCCCCGAAATGGCATGACAATGGCATTCGTCGCAACAGCATGTACCGTGACGTGTTCGGTCATTCCCCGAGTACGTTGTCCGTAGTGATAAGATCCCGGCCTCCGTCGGCGTAGGATGTATATTTTCTCGGCGAGCACTAGGATTTCGTTGGAAGTTCGAGATCCTGCGTAGGCGGATTTCCTGCGAGATTTACGGCTTCAAGCCACCGCCGTAGCGATCCACTCGCTCCGCTTCACGCATGTAACCGCTAGTGTAGTCTTGAACCGACACGAGTTGTCGCCAATTGCGCAGCTTCTGGCGTGCCGAGATTGAAGCTGCGATCGGCTCAAAACGCGCCAATAGCCCTGCGCACCACGCGTCCCACGTGCGGTATTGGGCGACTTCACATAACGAAGTGCTCTAGGTAACAGCTGGGCCCGAGGGGCTTTCTCCTTGCGGCACTGACTCGTAGTCGCTCAGCGAGGTAGCGATAACTCGCCACCAATTCATGGCGGGCCCACGCAACAATGAAACGAAGTACCAAATCTTTGTTGCGTTGATTGCTGTGACTGTGATGGTGCATTTGCCGTTGATTGTTGGCGCGAGTCGCGCTCCACCGTTGAAGTGGCGATTTCGAGTGCGGAATCGTGCAGCTGGCGTGCCATTTCGTCGAGGCGTTCCTGAGTCAGACTTTCGAGCGAAAAGCGGGCGACCGTCCTTGGCGGGGGCGTCGGGCTAGCTCAGCGGCAGTCTCAGTCGTGGTCGTGTGTGCTTACGAGAGGCCACACGAGCGGCGGCACTGGGCGCTGAGGGACGTCTATCCCCCAGAAAAATGTGATAAGTTGGGAAACAAATATGTGCTCGCTCCGAAAAGGGTCGTGGCCCTGAAAACCAAGTATTAGGAGTGCAATGGAGTGAGCGAACGGTAACGCGCTCGCGAAAGGTGCCATACATGCCTGATGTCGAGGCTGGGGAATGTCGAGGCGTAGGACCGGGCCGCAGGTTACAAGCTGAGCCGGGTGGTTTGGGCGCGAGAGTTGTGATGGCGGGAATAGTGTCGAGGCGAGTGTCGCGAGGTGGTAACGGGATACTGTTGGGTGTAGTGATGGGAGCAGTCGTGTACGTGGTATGCTGTGTGACGCGAAGTACGGAAATTTCTTTCCTTACAGTATCACAAAGTTCTCTTACATGTGATATGATTTAGTATATACTTTTTTTATAAACAGTTTTAGTTTGTGCAAAAGCTACGCAACCCATCCGAATCTTGTTTTGTGCTCAATTGTGTTCATAGCAGCGTGTGAAAGCCAGACGAACTTATTTCCGCGACTTATACTTCACTCTCGTCCGCTCACGAGGATAGACGTCATGGAACAGCCGCGAGAGGCGCAGCCCGTGGGCGACGTTCCGGAGGACGCCAACCAGCGTGAGTTACCAGCCGTGAGAAGCCGTGAATTAGCAGCTGAGAGTAGTAAGCACCCCTGCGCCGCGACCCCGATTGCACCGCGTGCCGATGGCCGCAACATAAGAATCACCGACCCGAGTCGCTCTTCGTACGCCTTGCTACCGCTAGCAATTATTTATGCCTCCTCTTGATTCTCGTCCCTCTCGTCTCTATCTCACCGCCGTTTGTTTCTCTGTGTAACCTTTTCTGCTCCCCCCCTGCCTTCCCGACTGCGCGCGGAGGAAGAGGGAGAAAAGACGGCACCCCTACGCGGGCTGCCTAACCCTCTCCATCCCTTTCAACCCCATCCCACCCCTCCCCTCCCCCGCCCCCAGACTGCCCGGGAACCGGAGCAGAGGAGGCAGGGAAGGCGGCGGCGTGTGCGGGGTGTCCCAACCAGCAGATTTGCGCCACGGCGCCCAAGGGGCCGGACCCAGGTGCGCTGCTGGGGCTTTGTGGGGCGCGGTGGGGCGCGGCTGGGTGCTGCGGCGTGTGGTGGTGAGGCGTGTGGTGGTGAGGCGTGTGGTACAGAGGGCTGTGGTTTTGGAGGGTTGGTACCAGCAGATCTGCGGCCAAAGGGGCAGATACAGGTGCGCTGCTGGGGCATGGTTGGAGGGTATGGTGGGGCGAGGGGTGGTGGGGTGTGCGGTACTGTGGTGTGTGGCTGGGTTATGATGCGGTGCAGTCATGGCCGCCTTCAGGAGTCACTCCCGTGACCTTGGGGCTTGAGTTGGATCGTCCATTCCTCTGCATTCAAAACGTGCTCCACGCTTCTGATCCCCCTCCTCTGCTTCTCTCCCGCTCTCATTGAGGTGAGTTTTGAGGCTCCTCAAAACTCCCCCTCCTCTGCTTCTCTCCCACTCGCCTCCTCTCTTTCTCACCCCCCCTCTATCACACACAGGCCTGGTAGCCATACGTCCTCTTTGCTCCCTCACACCCTCCCTCTATCTCCTCAAGCGGTCCGTGTATTAGATCCGAGCGAGTACAGACATGCACGTGGATATATAACATGCATTTCGGCATCTAACCCCCCCTATACTACTCACTCTATCTCCTCTCTCTCTCCCCCCACAGACCTGGTGGCCATAGCGCAGCGGCTGCAGGCAGTGAAGCACATCGTGCTGGTGCTGTCGGGGAAGGGCGGCGTGGGCAAGAGCACGTTCGCCGCCCAGCTGGCATGGCACCTGGCGCACCAGGACAAGCAGGTCAGCTGGCATGGCACCTGGCGCACCAGGACAAGCAGGTCAGCTGGCATGGCACCTGGCGCACCAGGACAAGCAGGTCAGCTGGCATGGCACCTGGCGCACCAGGACAAGCAGGTCAGCTGGGGCAGTGGGGCTGGCCGAGGCATGTGGCGTGGCAAAAAGGATAGCTCAGTATACATGAGCACGTGGGGCCTCGAGTGCTACTCACCTCGGTTCGACTTGCCTTGTACGAGTAGCAAAGCGAGTCGAGCAACACATGTGGCATGTAATGGTTTCGGTAGTTCGCCTTGTTACTGGCCCTTCAAGGCGAATAATCATTGAGTTGGATCGGATCTCCCCTGTCCTGCGCTTGGTGGGGCCGAGTGTGCCGTGCCTGGTGGGGCTGGAGGGGGAGGAGGTGCACCAGGGCGCCAGCGGGTTCAGGTTACCCACTGCTGCACTGCACATCGCACCATCTTGCCACTCCAACACCACCTCCCCTCTCCACCCTCTGTCCATCCCCACTATCTCCCCTCCTCCCCAACAGCCCCCCACACCAACAACTTCTTCCCCCACACAACTCCCCGCCCATCCACCCCCCACACCCACCCACCCCACCCCCTCCATTCCCCCCTCAGGTGGGCCTACTAGACATTGACATCTGTGGCCCCAGCGTGCCGCGCCTGATGGGGGTGGAGGGGGAGGAGATTCATCAGAGCGCCAGCGGGTGGTCGCCGGTGTATGTGGACGACCGCCTGGCCGTCATGTCCATCGCCTTCATGCTGCCGCACCCCGATGACGCCGTTGTGTGGCGCGGGCCCCGCAAGAACAGCCTCATCAAACAGGTAAGGGCAGGGGCTTGGGGTTTACAGTCACTGCCCCTAGGCGGGTTTAGGGTCTAGGGTTTCGGGTTAGGGGTTAGGGTCATTGCCTACTCATACAGGTGAGGGGGTGGTCTCTCATGCTTGTGTGCAATAAGCTTCATGCTGCTGTGGATCACAACAATTGGAAGAGATGATACTTCAAGTTTTAAAGCAACAGCCTTATCAAACTCTTCACTGCCTGCTGAGCTCTCGCCGCTGATCTTCCTCGAAATGGTTTGCTTACAATAGGCGCAAGCAAAGGCCGACCAAGGGCCTGGTCAGCTCGGCCTGTGGCGAGCCCGTGTTTCAGATCTAAACCTCTGCCGCTTGACCTGTCCGGGCATGGCCCTACCACATCGTTTCCAGCGTGTCGCACCGTTTCCCCCTCGTCAAAGGCTCCTTCACCTGCTCTTGTTTTCTCCCCGCTCCTGCCCCCTCACCTCCCTCAACCCCCCCTCACCTCCCCCTCACCTCCGCCCCACCTCCCTCTTCTCTTCCCATCCCCTTGCCGCCCACCAGTTCCTCAAGGACGTGGACTGGGGCGAGCTCGACTACCTGGTTGTCGACTCGCCGCCCGGCACATCAGATGAGCACATCTCAGCCGTTCAATTCCTCAAGGCGGCTCACGTGGACGGAGCGATCGTGCTCACCACCCCTCAGGTCAGCCTCACTGCCAGGCCATGGTGAGTGATGCCTGCGCTGTGTTGGGTGAGTGATGGTCCGGCCCAGTGGTTGTGATGGTCCGGCCCAGTGGTTGTGATGGTCCGGCCCAGTGGTTGTGATGGTCCGGCCCAGTGGTTGTGATGGTCCGGCCCAGTGGTTGTGATGGTCCGGCCCAGTGGTTGTGATGGTCCGGCCCAGTGGTTGTGATGGTCCGGCCCAGTGGTTGTGCTGGGAAGTTAATTCCGAGCAGGCTCCACACCACATTTTAATCTCTTCACTCGTTAGACCAAAACGCTCTAGCACTTGGGGCCGAGCCGAGCCTTTATCCCGCCCCTTTTCGTGTTGCCCCCATCCAATCACGTCCGTTTCGTGCCGGCCCTTCCACGCTCCTACACACTCTCATCCGCCACCACCCATCTGTTCCCCACCTTTCCCCCTACCCCCTACTCACCCAGGCTTGAGTGCCTTGAAGCACAATTGCGCTTTGAGTCGACTCAAAAGCTTTCTCCTCCAGACTCGAGCGCATTTGTCTCGCACCTCCACCCGGTTGCCCATGGCTTGGGGTTGAATCTTGTGTTTGCCTCATTCTCCTTCCACGGCCTCACTCCCCCCTCTGTCCACTCCCTCTCGTTGCATGCCGTTGCTCCGTTCCTCCCTCCGATCTCATGTCTGTCTCTGATGCTTCTTCTCTACAACCCTTCCCGGTGCCACCACCCAGGAGGTGTCACTGATGGATGTACGCAAGGAGCTGAGATTCTGTCGCAAGGTCATCTCACTCCCATCTCCACCCGCCCGCACTGCCCCGTCCTGCCTCATCCCCATCCTCCACTTATCCAGGAGGTGTCGCTGATGGATGTACGCAAGGAGCTGAGCTTCTGCCGCAAGGCCATCTTGAACACTCCCCTGCACACCCGCCCTCACTCTCTTGCCCGTCCGCCCTCGCTCTCCCGCCCGGCCTCGTCCCCATCCTCCTCTCACCAGGAGGTGTCGCTGATGGACGTGCGCAAGGAGCTGAGCTTCTGCCGCAAGGTCGGCCTCAACGTGCTGGGCGTTGTGGAGAACATGGCGCACCTGCAGGTGAGAACATGGCGCATCTGCAGGTGACAAGCTGTGGTGCTGCTGTGTGCACACCTGCCGGTGTTTTGATGTGCTTTTCTCCCCTACCTTCTGTACCCTCTACTTGCTGCAACTTTGATGTATGCCCCCACTGATGCATCCGTGCTCTCCCCCTGCAAGTGGTTCTCCCAGATTGTCGGCCCTGTTCCCCTTTCCAACCAACCCCTTCCTTCATGCCCTCACTGGGACGTGCAGTATTGCCTCACTGGGACGTGCAGTATTGCCTCACTGGGACGTGCAGTATTGCCTCACTGCACCCACTGCCTCACTGCACCCACTGCCTCACTGCAAGCCTCCTTATGTACTCATTATTCCATCCCTGCATGTATCCTCCTCTAACCCCCCTGTGCTGCCATCCATTGCTTTCTCCTACCTCACCTGCCCACCTGCCCCACCTGCCACCCTCCCTCCTATTGCTCCCTTCCCACAGGTGCCTCTTTCCGCAGTGCGTTTCTCCCACCACCCCACTCACTCCGACACGCATGCAAGCAGCGCCAGCAGTGCAGGCAGTCCAGCGGGGGAGGGTGGAGGCGAGGAGGATGTGACAGCACGAGTGTTGCAGGCGCTGCAGGAGGTATGTTGAGAGGAGCGAGTTGTGTGATGTCTCAATATGCAAGTGCTGCAGGAGCTGCAAGCGGTTTGTTGAGAGGAGCGCACCTAAACAGTAGAGACACGCTTGAAAGGCAGATGCAGCTCATATGATGTAATGGGTGGGGGAGGGGAGGGGAGCTTGGGGAGTGGAGATGGCATGGGAGGTGGAAGGCCCTTGTCCGGTGCATGGCCGACAACCCTGACCTGGTGCCTGAGTCCGTTCATGCGGTTACCCGTTCATGTGGTTACCCGTTCATGCGGTTACCCGTTCTTGCAGTTACCCGTTCGTGCGGTTACCCGTTCATGCGGTTGCCTGTTCGTGCTGTTACCCATTCATTCTGTTATCTATTCATGTACCGTTCATGATTTTATCCACCCCCCTCCTCCCGAATACCCATGTTTCTCTTTGGACCCGAAACTTTCTTCCCTCGTATTTTTCCCCTTCTCTCTCCCCAGTTCCCCCCCCTTTTTCTCCGCTTTTGCCTCCCCTTTTCCGTCCCTTTTTCCCTCCCCTTCTCCATCCCCTTCTCCCCCCCTCCCTCTTCTCATAACTACCCCTTCCTCCTCTCCTCTCGCCCCATCTTTTCCCCTCCCTTTAGCTTTGCTCTGGTGAACTGCACGTGCAGGCAGGCATGTTCCATGTGGGCAGCACGGGGAGCAGCTAGCAGAAAATGGCAGCAGCCATGGGATTGTCCCTCCTGACCTCTTGTCTGACTCATTTAACTATTCGCGGTCTCATGCATGCATGCACCCCATCTCCCCCCTCCCTCCCTCCAGCTCTTCCCTGGCGGCACACTGAGTGTGCAGGCGGACATGTTCCACGTGGGCAGCACGGGGGGGGGCGAGGCCATGGCAGCAGCCATGGGAGTGCCGTTCCTTGGTCGCGTGCCCTTTGACCCCTCACTAGGCCGCGCTGCCGAGGAGGGGCGCTCCGCTGCTCCTGACCATGGCGACGACGCCGCTGCAGCTGCCGGTGGTATCGGTGTTGCTGCTGCTGCTGCTGGTGTTGGCGGGGATGGTGGAGCAGCGAATGGGGATGTGCGGAAGGTGGAGGGGCTGTCACCGGGTGCGGCTGCGCTGGGGCGGATATTTGACAGGATTGTGGCCACCGTGGAGAGCAGCACCTGCAGATGATGCTTGAGTCGACTCATCCGACAAGGCTAAGTTCGGCGATGAGAGCAGCAACACGAAAGCTGACCTGAGATGATCTTGCTGAGAGAAGTCGCGGCTTTCGGTCCAACCAAGACTTGTACTGAGGTACTGGTAGGATAGGCGGCTGGGCAGGGCAGCGCATTTCCTGCAGGAATAAGATGCGTGGTGTAGCCGCCTAAAAGCCCGTCAAAGGTGTTGGGCTGAGAAAAGCCCTTAGGATCTTTGCAGGACTAAACTCTGAGTAGGAATAATGTAATAGCGGAAGCGTTTAATGAGAAGTTTGTGAACCCCCTTGCGCTAGTATGTGAGGGCAAAGTAGATTGATTAAAACAAAGAGATACAAGCTTTTATAAGAGTACAAGGAATACGAAGAGATACAGTTAATAACCGTTTTACTATTGCTGTTGCGGTTCGATACAGTGACGACTCGGGCAACTGCTCAATAGCGAGTCAGTTGTTTGTCCTTGCTGTCGCGCTGTATTTGTCAGGTCAAAGGTCGCTGACCTTTGACTTTCGCGTAACCTCCAGCAGTTGTTCAACCTCCGAGGGTTGACTCGCTAATGCTTCGATATGTTTCGCTTCGCTTCTGACTTGGTGTTTCGACATGACAAAGGCGCTAAATCAATTGTTTCCAACAAAAGGCAGGAGGAACAAATCAATTCAGTGGTCCTTGTGCTGGGGTGTACAGATTTTGTCATGGTTATTTTTTTCTCAAACAGTGTGGTACAACTTATTACAGAACGATACCGGTAGCTTATAACATCGTCGTTCTAGGTTGTATATTCTCATAGCTAAGTGAAAATGGTTGTTCTCCCTACCTGGTATCTACTGTAACTGGGCGTCCTGTTTTCGCACTAAATATTCTGTAAAAATCTAGCGATTAGAGGAAGTGTTGCGCTATGAGCGGGAAGCAGAGAGGTTGGTGTCAAATTGCATATGTTATCTCTAGGCAGTAGTGGGGCATACTCTAAGGAGTACAACACTTTAGGGTTGCATCCTAGTCAATCATTCCTACGTTCCGTTTCTGACATGGTTTTCAGAACAGGTTCCTCCGTAGGACTGCTCCGTTAGGGCCCACCGACCGTACCGTTTGGCCCCGGATAGTAGCGCATATGCGCTTATAATAAAAACATTATTTTAAGGGGGGACGCTTGTAATTGAGTAACGGACATAAACGCCGGCGCTTTTATAATGGCAAAAATGAATTTTACTTTTAAGGACACCAAATTGAAGCCCTCAATAATGCGAATACAACGCTATGCCATGCGCGTGGGGTCGTGCATGGAATCACGGCGAAACTTGGCCCGATTCGATTTCCCTCCGCACAAAACCTGTCCAGGAGCAACGCACCTGCCAGCGCTGACGCGATACCTGCCGTGCGGCCCAATCAGGTTGTCATGCGCTGCCAGGCAGAAGCATCTTAGCAAAACCCACCAGAAGGGGATGGAATCTGCCATGCCAGCGCAGCATGTATGGTGCCCGGAACCCTCCTTTGCGGGTTCAGGCAGGGGTTTACTCGTCTCTCATTGACGAGGATCCCGAGCCGCAAACCTGAAGGGGTCCCCTTCAATCTCTCATTTCTTCTCCCATTCTTGCAGTTTTCCATTCAGCTTTGTTTTCTCGCCCGCCTAGCTGAGAAAGCAATGGCGCAATTCACAGGCACGCATTTTCTCTTTAATAAGAAACCTACCAATAGGCCCGCGTACCGTGTTACAGCTGACGGGTGGTATAGCCGTATACCACCAGACCCACCCCGTGCTCACGCTCCTGCTCCCATCGGCTTTCGACGAGTACCTTTCGGAACCAGATTCTAACAAGGGCCCCGATGTATGGGTACCCACGCCGGCGCCGACACCACGTTGGGGCCAGCCAAAAGACTGCACGTGGGACGAATCTGCAGTCGGCGCTGGCGACGAAGTAACTGATGCCGAGGAAGAATGGCGCACTGAGGGTGACAACGGCGCCGAGGGTGGCACAGAGCGTGACACCGAGGATGGCACTGAGGCCGGCACCGCTGAGGATGTGTTTCCCGAGGGTGCTCCAGGCGGTGACGACGACGGCGGCGTCGAGTACTGATCACCCGATGGGCTCCCCGAGAAACTTCCAATACCATCTCATCCTCCACGAAATCAAAAGCACCCTCACTCTTCTTCACAGAACCATGATGCCCACCCCCCCTTTCCCAGGCACAAGGTTAACGAGCACAAGCGTGACCTACACTTCCGCCGAGAAGTTGAAGTGGGTCTCGCAACTGGATGTGGCGGTGTCAGCGCGCGCTTTGGCTCGCGAGAGTGGCATCCACCGCAAGTGCCTCACCAACTAGAAGCGTGCCGCGGAATTTCTCAAGGAAGCCCACTCTGCCAAGAAGCACATGCACGGTCGCGGGAGGGCGTCGTGGTACCGGCCAATGGAGATTAAGGTGTACGAAAAGTTGCTCGATTGGCGCCGCAAGGGAACCGCAGTGTCCATCGGCCGCCTGCAGGAGTGGTTCCGGAAGTTCATGAAGATACTCTACCCCCTCGTGAAGTGGAAAAGGTGGACGGACCGGTTCCGGCGGCGGTGGGATCTCAGCGTGCGAATGAAGACGAAAGTTGCCCAGAAAACCGACGCCTGTGAGAATCACAGTGCTTACGCATGCCTTGTTTCCGCACTTCGTATTTACTAACCGTAACCCTGTGTACCCGCCCTCTATACCACCGTTTCGCAGATGTCTCGGAGCAGTGCAAAAGTTCTGGCAATACGTCCGTGACAAGCACCGAGAGCGCGACATCGAGACGACGTGGATTATCAACGCCGACCAGTGGACCTCTGAAACCGCTCTGGCTGGAGATGCCCGCCACCACCACCGTCGATCAAACCGGAGTTCGGTCGGTGCCCTCAGGAGTGCGGGGTACCAGAAGGAGCGCGTGACCAGGATGTTGGCGTGCACTGCGGACGGGATGAAGCTCAAGCCGTGGGCCTCTTTCAAGAGGAAGACAGTGCCGAAAGGCATTTTCCTACCGGGTAAGACATGTTCTTTTGTTTGTGTGCACGGCTGTGGTTGTTTTTTCAATCACATATGACTGTCCGATGTTGGTTGTGCAGATGTGGTCATTGCGTGCCACAAGAACGGGTGGATGGACGCGGAGGGCATCATTCGATGGCTTGAGGAGTGCGTCAAGCCCTTCTTAAAGCCCGGTTTCGGGAGGCATGCAAGGAGCTCGATGCTCGTACTGGATTCATACCGCGGTCACCTCACTGAGGGGGTTGAGGAGAAATTCCGCGAGCTCAACTGCGTGCTGGCGATCATCCCGTCCGGCTGCACGGCGGAGGTACAGCCCCTCGACGTCTCCATCAACAAGAACTTTAAGGCGAGCGTCCGCCAGCAGTACCAAAAGTGGTTTCAAGAAGAGGGCCAAGAACAGCTGACCAAAGCAGGTGCAGCAGCCATGTGACTAATCCATGTGCCCTTGAAATATCCCCTCTTTGTTGCACTAACTGGCTTCTACCGTTGTGTTTTTTTGTTGGTGCAGGGAACTTGAAGAAGCCGCCCCCAGAGGTGGTTGTCAGGTGGATCTCACGGGCATGGAAGGTAGTGCCCGCTGATCTCATCAAGCGCGCCTTCCTCACCTGTGGCATCAGCAACGCGCTTGACGGCAGTGAGGACGGGCTCGCCATGGCGCACAGGCGGAGCCAGCTGACAGCGGAAGTGGATGTCGATGATTCTATCATCGCCGATGGCTTTGTTGGCAACAACTGCGAGAAGCCCGAGTCTGACGAGGAGGAGTAGATTCTAGATACATACGCAAAACTATGAAATGTTTAGTTTGAAATGATGAAATTGTCGGTGCAAACCTTATCTAGTTAGACTGGAAAGTGTTACTTGTTTGTTTATTTGAAATAAAACCTCTAGAAAGTTAAAAGTTTGCGCTCATAATAAGTAAGGCCACAAAAGGGGGGGCACTTATAATCGAGTTCCGGCCATAAGCGCCATGCTCCAGATAGAAGCGCCGGCGCCCATAATCGGACGGCGCCTATATCCGGGGCCATATGGTACGTACTGCCCCAGGAGCTGCTGCCGTCGCGTGCTGCCCTGCTCGCGGCGCACACGCCCTGCCCTGCCCAGTACGACTTCACGCTGCTACCCTGCCCTGCCCAGCGCTATCGCGCTGCCCCGCCGCGCGCTGCCCTACTGCCGCGCGTGTTGTGATGCTGCCCAAAGTGCCCTGCTCGCCGCGCGTTGCCATGCTCGCCGCGTGCTCTGCTCGCTGCGCACCTCACTGCCCTGCTCGCCGCGCGCCTCGCTGCCCTGCTCGCCGCGCGCTGCCCTGCTCACTGCGCGCTGCCCTACTCGCCGCGCGCTGCCCTGCTCGCCGCGCACTGCCCCGCTCGCCGTGCGCGACCTGCGCCACGCACGCGCGTAGCTTGCGCCCTGCCCGCCCGCGCGCTGCCTACGCGCGCCCTGCCCGCACGCGCGCCGTCTACGTGCGCCCTGCCCGCACGCACGCTGCCTGTGCGCGCCTTGCCCTGCTGCCCGCGCCCCGCTGCCCTGCAGTCCGCGCGCCGCCCTGCCCTGCAGCCTGTGCGTCGCCATGACCTGCAGCCCGCGTGTTGCCCTGCCCTGCAGCCCGCACGCCGCCCTGCCCTGCAGCCCGCGCGCTACACTGCCCTGCAGCCTGCGCGCCGCCCTGACCTGCAGCCTGCGCGCTGCCCTGCCCTGCAGCCCGTGCGCTGCCCTGCCACTACATCGACTATCGCTACTGCTACAGGAGTCGCTTTTGACGCCATTGTGCCGGTGCTACTGACTCCCACTGCCTGTCATGGCTACTATCATTGTCGTAGCAGCGTCTGGCGGTGGACAGTAGCACCAGTGTCAGCCGGAGACTCTATCGCCGCAGCAGCTTCGCGAGTGGGTTGTTCGGCGAGGTCGCTCTGGTCGTGGAGCTTGGGATTTCACGCGTGCTGGCGGTACAAGACAGCAGCGGCAGTGTCATCGCCATGAG